AGCTAATATCAAAAACTTGTTGGTATATTGATTTATGAATGACACTTCAAAATAAGATACTTAATAGCCTCCAGAGACCAAATCTTTAAATAATCGCATCAGAAAACTACTTAGAAACACGTAACTTAGAACTCATAAATGAAAATAAATATTTTATTTTTGAAAAAAATCAATTCGTTAAAGTTAGTAAATTTTTTAAGTTATTTTTTATTACTACATAATTTTTTTTTTTTTAATTTTTATTTAAATTTCCATTATGGTAGCATAAATTTCTAGTATGTCTCGTCACATTCTGATCAGGAAACAAAATCCATTAAGAGTCAATAATAAGATATTTATATACCATATAAGACAGCCCAAAAAGTTTCTTAAAACGAATTTCCAACTTTTCTTATAATTTTTAATTGTATTTAAAAACTCCGATCAAAAAGAGTAAATCTACATATATTTTTACACAGACTTTGTAAAAGTATACATACTGAAAAAAAAAAATATTAGTTTTTAAGTACAGTAGGGAACCGATTATTCGGAACGATCGGGACCATCGCTATTCCGGATAACTGATTTTTCCGGTTTTCTGAGTTTTTTTTATTGTTAAACCCAACTAAAAAAAAGTATATGGAAATAATCTCAAAAAGAAGAAAAAACGATGAAGTAATACACTAATGATTATTTATAAAATGATGGTAAGGTAAACATATTTAAAAAAAAAAAAAAAAATCCCAAAATCTTATGAGGAAAAAAATTTTTTTTTTTAAAAAATGGCGAGAAAATTTATCAAATTTCGTTCCGGTTTTTCGATTTCCGGATAACGGGTTCTGTCCTGTAATAAAATTGGAAGAATTTTTTTGCAATATATGGGGCACTGGATCTCAATGAGTTATAGGCAGAGTTATGAAACAGGTTTTAAAATTAAAGTGAGTTTCACAACAAATCAGAGAAAGATTCACATCAAATTAATAATGGGCTAAAAAACATGTCTCAATTCGATATCCATGGTGGTCGGGAAATTTCAGAAGGTTCCATTTGCATTCTTAAACCTTAGACCGGCTGAAAATTCGTGCTTCAGAGCCATCGAGCAACTTCAAGTCTTAGAGCTAGAGACTTCCCAAATTCAAGAACATCAGCCACTTACGTAAAATTAAAAAAGAGTTAAATTGATATAAACTATTTAATAACTGAAAAACAAGAGAAATTAGTTCTCAATTTATTTTCAAATGTAAAAAAAACTGTCAAGTAATCAAATAAAAAAAATTCATTTTCAGTCAAACACTTTATCGCCAATCGTCTCATTTGACGATTTATTATAGTACAATTTTAGATATCTTTATAAGATCTTGTTAACATCACTTGACCTAAAGAACTTGGAAATTGCAAATCAGAGAGAAAGAGATAATAGGACCGTTGACTCTTGACCAGGCAAAAATTATTGATAAACGACAACTTTGATGTAGTTTCATTTTCACTAAGGCAGTATCAACAACGTTTGTTTATTTTCATACTCCTCTCTTAATCAACAAGTGATATGGCCAAAACGCAGAATAAAGCTTTTCTTTGAGTCTAAGTTCTAATCTGATCTTTTTCAGAAACAACTGACATTGGTGATTATGGCTATGATTAAATGAATGCGGGAAGCATATAAACAGCATCGCAAAGGTTCATTGGCGGTCAATCAAAATATTAAATACATTTCGATTAAATAATCATTGATTTGATGTTTCGCACATTTTAATAAAAGAAGCATGTGTTCTTTTAAACAGTAGCTCGTTAAAAAGTCTAGACTGTTAATGTCTTGGCCAAATAGTTTGCATCAACAACGCAATCACAAAATGGAAATACAAAGAACGGACTTGCTTAGTTAAAAATTATGCTCTATAGTCCCAATAAATTTCTAAACTTCTCTAACTTATTAATAAATACGACGTTATGTATGAGAAAGTCGGGATGTTTCATAATAATCGTTAATATTATACAGGGTAATTCAGTACAGCGATTACCAACTTGGATGGAAGATAAGGATTATATAATGAGTTGCTGGTAATTCTCATCATAAGGACTGAGAATTCAACTCATGATCTGAAATATCATGCGTTACAATGGACGTTTCCTTATTATAGACTCTTTTTTTTTAAAATGGCGGTCATTTGGGGGTTATCCCATTGGCCACAGGAATGCCAGAACTGCTACTCTCTTCTCGATACCTAGTGCGCACCTGTGGCGAAACCACGGCGGTGGAGCAGCGTCGCCCACGTCACACAACCACAAATCTGTTTATAGGGTGGGTCACATTCACACACAAAGGAGAAAGGAACACAAAGAGAAAGAAACATCCATGGCCCGAGCAGGATTCGAACCTGCGACCAGCGGCTCCGCAGTCAGGCACGCTAATCACTCGGCCCTTATTATAGACTAATACTAACTATTCGCATGCATTTGAACCGGTACTTTTATTTATCTTCTTCTTCAATGGCGCTGTGGGTGTATTATAAATCGACTATGTCAACCCTCATCTATCAATAGGTACCAATTGATAGAATCAAGTTAACATGTCTTATATACTAGTGAATTGGTATTTTAATATTTATAGTGGTAGTTATGCCACAGCGCTACAATCCGGCGCAGAACTGAATTGAATGTAGTAAAATTTCATAAAATACCTTAAATATAAAATAAATAGTAGATTTTTCGTTTGAAACAAACATATCGTAGGTTTGAAAAATCATTACTGGCAAAAAAAAATAATAAATAAATTAAACAAAAATCCTATCTTACAGAACCCTAGTGTACCACAAACTTATTTTGGGAACCGCAGATCTAGAAAATGAGACAATTCTGAAAATAAGCCAAAAAAAAAAATTTTAAAACATATTTTTTGAAGCTTTCAATTTAAAATCAGTTTGTTCTAGTACTAAACTCACTCGATATAGTGAATTAGAAAATAAAAAGAGCAAAATATAAAGAAACTACACTATATAAACATTTTCAACTTTAAAAAAATTATAACATTAAAATTTCAATTTATTATGCATTATCTCATAGAATATCAAAAATAAGTGCACGACTAATTTCAGTACATACATTTTTTGTAAGTTTATGTTACTGTTTGCTGATTTCTATTTAGATGGAAAAATATTATTTTATTTAAAAAATAAACAGATTACATTTAGAAACTGCAAAGAAATGTATGACAATGATACAGTCTTAGAAAATATTATTAATAAGTTGAAGATTGCACACAGATAGAAAAAAAAAAAATAAATAAAAATTGATCACTCAAAAATGTTACAAATATTTATTTTCAAATAATTTCAAAATTGATATTATGTTATCCTACGCAAAATTGCAAGTCATTTTTTTGTACAAGTTTAGAAGTTTCTCAGCATTTATTTATATATTTCTAGAGTAGCACTTATGATGTCGAATTTTCAGAATTTCTTTCAGAGTCACGTGTGTGTTTCTTCTTAGTCATATCATACCTACAAAAAATTAAATAATTTTTTTCTTCTGTTTGGTCAATTTAAAAGTCGTATCTGCTTAAAAAGTATTTTGTTTTTTTGGATTTGTTTCATATCCATACTTGTTAAAAAAAATATCATCGCTTTGAGATATGTTTCAGTTGGTAAAAATTTTGGAGGGGGGATCTGATATTCTAGTGGCGTAACTGCTAAAAAAATGCTTATTCAATCTGTTTTGGAGTTATTTCTGTTAAAGAATTTAGTGGATAGTTACAAAATGCTTGTCAAATTTTATGTGCTGCCAACAGGTTTCATCTTTGTTATATTCTTGTTTTATTAGTTTTCAACTTAAGGCAGTATATACAGGGTGGTCCTAAAATATATGTCAAAGATGTAAAGGTAGGTAGAGGGGACTTAAAATAAGCATATTTCGTATAGGATTGTGAGTGTGGTAATGCCGCCTTGAGCCGGTAGGGAGCGCTGATGACTGCGGCTTATAAAAGCCCTTGCTAGCTGGATTCCCGCACGGATCTCAAACAGCATGCATCGTATCAAAAATGTGGATCTTGCCGATGTGCATTTCATGTATGGGGCTACACAAGGAAACGAATTAACTGCTCAGAGAATGTACAGGGAACGTCAGAAATCACATGGACGCTGTCTACTGCCAGCATTGGATAGGACGGGGTGGTTCAGTTCCCTGACCACCGCGTTCTCCTGATTTACCTGCTTGGATTTTTTCTTTTGGGGTCATATTAAAAGCCTGGTGTATGAGAGTCTCATCAAGAAGATCTTGTTGCCTGCTTGTCTGTTGCTGCTTTGCATGTGCTCGACATGCCTGACATCTTTTCTAATGTACGCCGATCGGTGCGCCGTCGCTGTGAATCTTGTATCGATGTTGGTGGCTGCTCTTTCGAGCACCTCTTGTAAACTGTTGATAAATTTTTATTTTTGTTTGTCTTTTCAGTTTCCTCTGATTCATACTGCTTTACAAGCTAGTGCTTTAATGTGCCATTACCGCACACACATTCCTATCCGAAATATGCTTATTTATGTCCCCTCTACCTACCTTAACATTTCTGACATATTTTACGACCACCCTGTATATATAAATGACATTGAATCATAATAGGAATACCATAACTTTTCCCTGTTCATAGTTTCATCAGGGCACTCCATCTCCATAATTGTTTTATTTTTTATTTTCACCCTTCAATTTTCCTAAAAAGTGTAGTCAACATTCTGTTACTTTGTTCTTTTTGTTTGTAGGAGAGCAGGATAAAATTTGTTTATTTGTTACAAGTCCTTTCTAAACTAAAGAAAATAAAAAATTCAAATTATTCAGACAAGAAAAATAGCTTCTATTTTACAAAATGGAGGTTTTGACATTGTAACAATTCCATTCTTTTAGATTTGAATTTAAAAAATTGGCTGTTTTCATAATACAGTGATTTTATAAGTGGCGGTCAATGTATTATTATAAAGGAGCTAATTGAGAAAAAGAATCAACTCTACCAGAATATTTGTATTAGATAATGTATTGTATTACTTCAACTAAAACATTTTTATTAAAAATAACTATTACAAGTCAACCATACACAGAGGACAGTTTTCAGACTATCCAATACAAAATACATCTAAAAAATTGAAATTCATTTTTTATACATAAGGTAAAATAAATATAGATTATATATTAGATTAAAGATATTTGCATTCTTTTTTGTAAAAATTACTAATATCTGTTAAATTTGTAAAGATAAACAACCTATTAAGGGGTTAAATTAAGAAATTGCCCTTTAAATTATAAAATTGAAATACAAAGCAAATATTTATCCATTGTAATATTTATTATTTCTTTCAAGATCTTTATTTTAAAAACATGTGCTTTAGTTCATAAGCAAAAAAATAGATTAGATATTGTGAGATATAACATCTTAAAATATGTGTTAAAGATCTGAAAATGAAAAATATAAAAACTTAACAGATAAATTGCATTATTTTTTTAAATATTTTTTTGAATTAACATATTGACATATGGTTATTATTAACAAGTAATACTACTTCTTTTTTATTTCTTCATTTTGAGTTCCAAAATCTGTGTGATGCAATAAGAAAATCATCAATAAATAAATATCATCAATAAATAAATAATTCTGAGTATATTTTTTCACAAATGTCAACAATAAATGTGGATTAAAGTAATGAGAAGCTTTAAAGGCGTAACTTTCCATAAGCTGCAAGTGAAATAACTTGCTATTAAAGTAACATCATTGAATTCTACCAATTTAGTTTTATGCTTAGTTAAATATAAATACTTTTTAAACTTAATAAATAAATATGTATATAAATAATGAAGAAAGATTTGTTCTGCAAAGAATGATTCAGAAAAATGGATTTTTTTAATAATGTTTCCTGACCTAATAAAATTTACTTATAATTTGATATCCAACATACAAATGGGGTCTTCGTCTTTACTAATTCAAGAAAGTTTTGAGCTTTAATAAAAATAACTATGATTTTAATTTTTTCAGTTTTTAGTTTCTAATAGTTATACATTATTTTAACCATTTTAGTTAAAATTATTAAGCACTTTAGTTAAAATATTGTTTATAAATAGTATTAAACATCAATAATATATTTTTTCACAGCTTTCAATGGTGTAAACAAAAAAATTCTGGTTTTAAATAAGAGAAAATTTTTTATTTTATTAAAAAAAATAGGATTTTCTTTTTTTTTTAAAAAAAAAATCATGGTTTTTGCCAGTTCTGCCGAGGAAAAAAAAACATGCCTATGTACAAATATTAACACAATTCATTATTTTAGCATAAAAAAATACACAGGGAAATATCACATTAACTGCAGGGAACCATTTTTTATTAATGTAGTAATTGGTCTGTATCGAAGAACATGCTGAGAACCAACAACCAAATCAACTATTTCTTCATCTCTGAAAGAAAAAAAATTCTTAAAAACTATGAGATTATATTAACTTGTTAACTACTATCAAAAATTTAATTCTGTTTAAATATTGTTGTCAAAACAAATGTCGATTTGGTTTGCAAAAGGATAACTAGTGAAAAATTTAGCCTGACATCCACTTTTATGTTTATGTTTTTTTCTTCCATTAATTATTCTTTTAGATCATTACTATATTTTTTTTTTGTTTTAATTTTGAAATTCATTTTTAATTTTCATTCTATAACTCTCAAATCTAAAATTCTATAATTTGAATTAGTCAGTAATTTTTAACACTGTTTTAATTATTTGCAAAATCATGTCAGTAGTTCAATCAGTATCTTTGTCAATCCTTTACCATTGAAAATAAAATAAAAAGTATAATAATATTAAATGAATAATTTTTAAAAGAAAATTAAGCTAAATAGCCTTATGATTATCCCTTTTTTTTATGGGATCATTCACTTTTTACCCTATACTTATCTAAAATACTTTTTAGAGCTTTATTGATTTAGTTTAGTTCATGATTTAGTTTAGCTCATGGTTTAGTTTAACTAACCATGGATTAGAACAAACTTCTTTACTCTGAAGATTCTGCTTATACGAAGTAAGTTTTACTTGATTAAATTCAGAAAACTGGGGCTTAGCTGTATATAATTTTCTAAAATAAGTTTATGTTTCAATGTGTAACACTAAACAGGCATAATGAAATTTCAAAATAACATAATGAAATTTGAAAAAAGCAGGGTGCCTTAAAGTGAGAATATCTAGCAAAATGCAGCAGAGTTGCACATGAGAGTACAAGAATCTCACGAAATTCAGCTCAGTGGTCGCACATGCAGACTCCGAAGTATTTCATCAAATATGTGACATGATTGGCGCTATCATACGTTACAGACCTACGGTACGACGAAATGGATTGTGGTTCAACGAAAAGTGAAAATGTTTAATAGAACAATGTGAAAACCATGCTTTTGCATAACACATAGTGAAACCGACATGGTAAAGAAAAAAAAATCTCATTTTTGAAAAGGGAAAATTAAGCACTTTTTAAAAACACTTCCAAAAAGCACCTTTAAGGGCTTTTAAAAAGCGAAAATAAGCACCTTTAAGCACTTTTCAAAAACGCTACGCACCATGTGTAACTATATATGACGAAGCATCACTGTGAAACAAAACTAACTAAAATTTAATAAAAATTTATTATAATTTAAATCTTTTCCAATTAAATCAATTGATTTGAATAAACTGATTCCAATTATTGAATGTTGGTGATTTGAATAATTGAATCAGTACTTAACTCCAGTCTAAAGACCTGCAGTTTCTATAGTCACATTATAAATAATAATACACTTATTCTATCAACAAGCAGTTACCTCTATCCGACTCATATCTATTACTTATATAATCACTAAGAAAATTTTTACCCATTAAAAATTTGATATTCAAAACAAATTCAGTAGTTCAATCAGTATCTTTGTCAATCCTTTACCATTGAAAATAAAATAAAAAGTATAATAATATTAGATGAATAATTTTTAAAAGAAAATTAAGCTAAATAGCCTTATGATTATCCCTTTTTTTTATGGGATCATTCACTTTTTACCTTATACTTATCTAAAATACTTTTTAGAGCTTTATTGATTTAGTTTAGCACATGGTTTAGTTTAACTAACCATGGATTAGAACAAACTTCTTTACTCTGAAGATTCTGCTTATACGAAGTAAGTTTTACTTGATTAAATTCAGAAAACTGGGGCTTAGCTGTATATAATTTTCTAAAATAAGTTTATGTTTCAATGTGTAACACTAAACAGGCATAATGAAATTTCAAAATAACATAATGAAATTTGAAAAAAGCAGGGTGCCTTAAAGTGAGAATATCTAGCAAAATGCAGCAGAGTTGCACATGAGAGTACAAGAATCTCACGAAATTCAGCTCAGTGGTCGCACATGCAGACTCCGAAGTATTTCATCAAATATGTAACATGATTGGCGCTATCATACGTTACAGACCGACGGTACGACGAAATGGATTGTGGTTCAATGAAAAGTGAAAATGTTTAATAGAACAATGTGAAAACCATGCTTTTGCATAACACATAGTGAAACCGACATGGTAAAGAAAAAAAAATCTCATTTTTGAAAAGGGAAAATTAAGCACTTTTTAAAAACACTTCCAAAAAGCACCTTTAAGGGCTTTTAAAAAGCGAAAATAAGCACCTTTAAGCACTTTTCAAAAACGCTACGCACCATGTGTAACTATATATGACGAAGCATCACTGTGAAACAAAACTAACTAAAATTTAATAAAAATTTATTATAATTTAAATCTTTTCCAATTAAATCAATTGATTTGAATCAACTGATTCCAATTATTGAATGTTGGTGATTTGAATAATCGAATCAGTACTTAACTCCAGTCTAAAGACCTGCAGTTTCTATAGTCACATTATAAATAATATTACACTTATGCTATCAACAAGCAGTTACCTCTATCCGACTCATATCTATTACTTAGATAATCACTAAGAAAATTTTTACCCATTAAAAATTTTATATTCAAAACAAATATTGTATATGGTTTAAAATAATGGTCAGTATATGAAACAAAATTTAATAACTAGCTTATTATGCATTTTTGTTAAAAGCTTAATATTCATAAAGCTTTTCTTGTGATTAATTATAAGTTTCAAGCAAATCTGTAAATAATTTTTTTAGCACAAAAATTGTAATTAAAATATTTACAATACAATATTTTAGTAAATAATGCCACTCTTAATACTGTACTTACCCATCATAATCATCAAACTCTTCAAGAATAACACCCAGGCATTCTTTTTTAACCTTAACAAAGACTGATTGATCCATTTGGGGTTTACAAACTGAAAAAATTGATCAATAACTTATAGAAACAATAAAGTTTCAATCTTATTACACAAAGTAAAGAATTAGTAATCGATGAGCTATCTGGATTTATTAAGAAATCTGTAATGTTTTCATCACACATTTTCTCTCTCTACCTCTTATTTATTATCTATCATTGATTTTAGAACTTATTCTTTTGTTTTTATTTTGGTTTTGATTTGAACTTTTAAATTAACTTCTTATTTGTTCCTGTATGCAAGCCATATGCAAATATTCTGATTTTGATACTTTCCTGTAGTAACTTTTAAGCCCTTTTAGAACTTCCTAGATGTAAACAATACAGAATCAGATAAAAAAGAGAAATTAGGTAAAATTTAATTTTTTTTTAGAAAACAGGTGATACGAAGATGAGATATGAAAATGCTTTGTGGAAATAAGATTGACATTTGGAATTCTTAATTTATGAGATTATATGCTTTTATCTACTGGAAAGAACAATTATTTACTATAATTAAAATTATGTTTCGTAATTAAAAGTCAAGTTTTAGTTTTGTTTCAGAATCTTTTAATAACAATTATTTATAACTGGCAGACATTGCTTCTTTTGAAAAATGAAAGTATAAAGCAATTAAATGTGTCTGTATTACTGATCAAGAATTTTAAAACTTCTTAATTCATTATGCCAACTTAACACCGAAATCTTCCTTTCAAGACACTTTTAGAAAAAAATTTTCTTCCCTATTTACACATTTTGATCGACAGACTCTTAAATATTGTTATTACTCTTTAAATTTAGCCTAATTTCTTTAAATTTCCATAATATGAAATTTCTTAAATATTGTCACATAGATTTATCAATTAAAAAAAAGTTATTAATTCTCAATGATTAAATTTCAAAAAAGTTCACAATAATTGAAAAGTTTTTGTTATTGGAAAATTTTTACTTGTCTTAAGTTTGAGAAATTTTCATGATACATTTTATCATAAAACTACAGTTTTCTTGTAGAACAACTCTTAAAATGCTCCAAGATTTGATTGCATTATAGTTGAATGATATCGTAAAATCAAAAGATATGATGCTTATAAAAAAAATTTAAATCACATATTTTGTCTAGAAATTTGGATATATATAATAGAACACAACAAATAGCTTATTTCTTTTAGCTCAGGTTTTATTGCTGAACAACTTTAACTGCTACTTTAGAGTGCTCGCATGATCTCAAGTAATTTCCGTATTATTGTAGAAGAGCAGTAAGGAGTTAGATTGTTTAATTTAGAATAAAAAATTATTTCTTTTACTCTAATTAATAATAGAAAATAAATTTTATTACTATTTTTGTGTTATTTTATAAGATATTTGCAAGGGGGAGCCATTCCGTCTGAGTGGAATTTGTATTTGATTATATTGACAAATAAATAATTTAGGACAAGGTGAGACGAATTTAAAAAAAATGTATTTTTCATGCTAAGTAATGTATAAAAACATATTGTATTCTAATTTAGATTAAAAAAATATTTAAAACCAAATTTTTCAAATCGATATTTCTTTCTTTAATCAAACAAAAATCTTTTCTTCAGCAACTACAATCAATTTAGTATACTACAATCTACCATTTTAAACACAACAATTACAATTTTGAAATTACTTCTTTAGGATGAATTGCAAAGGAATAGGGTAACATTTAATCAAAAAGTAATAAGCTCATGAACGATACAAAGTGTAATTTTTTAAAGGCACACTTAAAAGTAAATTTTATAAAAATATATACATATAAGTTTCTGTTGAAAGCAAATTTTATAAATGTACATAAAATCATATAGGTTTCTGTAAAAACAAAAGAGAGTCTTGATAGGATAAGTTTATAATTGAGTTTCAGAAACTCAAACACAAAATATTTTTCAAGATTAAGATCTTACCAATTTCCTCAAATTTTAAGAACTGCATGTTAGGAGGCATTTTTTTAATGGCAGTATTTCTTAAATAATCCTTCAAGTTAGTCACATACCTGTAACATTAAAATAAATCTCATCAATAAATAAAAAAACTTCTTGTCATTATTTACAATCAATTACCAAAAAAACATTTTCAAAAAGAAAAAAAATTAAAAAAAACTTAAATATTGTGACATTATAAAATTGAGTAGTAAACATTAATCAAAGAAATTTTTTTTTTGTATTAAAAAAGGTTATTGATTAGAGGTCAATAGCATTGAAAGAGAGGTAGGTGTTGATATTTACAACATAACTTCAATTTCTGCCTCTAGTATCATGTGATTTTACCAACAGTGGTAGTGATTTTACCCTGTCAGCTGTCATATCATACCTTATGTGCTCTCTTTGTCGTAGAATTATTTCAAGCATTTCTTCCAAAAATGCTATGTGCTAAGAAAAAGAAAAAAACTGCTAAGCAAGGTAGAAACAGGATATTTTTACACATGATCAAGGCAAACAAAAGAATTTAATAAAATGGAAGAATTTCAGAAATTTTCTTCTCTGCTTCTCTTACAGCTCTACAGCCCCAGGTAAGTTTTGGCTTTCTCTACTGCAAAATTCCACATTGCTTTCTTTCCAGATTTCTTTTTTCAGTTCTTCATTTTTTGCAAGTCTTACTCAGCTTGATCCAGCCATCTTAGCAGTGGTCTTCTTTTTCCTTCATGATTTTGATAGGCATGTCTGTTTCTGTTTTCTTCATTCTTTCGACATGTCCTATCCACTGTATTTTTTTAGCTTTGACAAATCTTAAGTTTTAATCTTTAATTAATTCTTCCATTTTATGATTGCATCTTTTTTTCCATGCATTATTTTTTATTAGTGGATACATGAATTTTCCTGTTTCAAAATTTCTTAATATAAAATTTCTTAATACAGAATTTCCTTATCTTTGTTGGAAAAAACCTAGATTTCAGATCAATATGTTACTATTAGCCTTATTAGTGTTTAATATATCTGCATTTTACATTTTCTTAAAATAAATTTACTGCTTAGTAATCTATTACTGGCAAATACTGTATCTCTTACGTATCTACTTTGTATCTTTTTAATCTTTTTATACAGTCATGCATAAATAAAGGATACAGCAATACAGATCAGCAATTTTGAAGAGAAGAAAAAAACATCACATTCCAGAAAAAGAAAGAACTTTAGAAGAGCCATAAAGAATTTATTATTAACACGTTCGCTGCCGATCACGTACCAGCACGTGATATGACGTCAACACTATTGTGCAGGTCATGTGACAGAAAATATTAGCAACATTGTAGTTGAATCAGGAAACAGAATTTTTTTCAAGTAAATCAAGCAGAAACTATTTCAGTTCAAATTTTTTATGAGTTACATAAGGGTAATATCTGGCCAACCTTTACAGTATTACAGCACAAAATCCCACATCTGGAAATTCGGCCGCTTTTCTGGCCACTCTTTTTAACAATCAAAATGAACAAAACACTTTTCCCTTTCCAAACATTGAAAAAAAAAAAAAAAATTTTTTTTGTGTAATTTGTTAAAAAAAATTATGTTGGAATGAAAATCCCCTGCTTTTCGGTTTCTTCATGATTTTCATCCGACTTATGATTTTTGTTTGATTTTAATCCAATTTCTGCTATAATATAAATATATATAAAAAAAATTGGATAACATCGAAACAAAATCTGGTAACTCACAACAGCAAAAAAATAAATAAATATAATATTGCGTACCTTTTCTCCCACGTCTTGCACAAGAGGATTACAACCGACAAGAGCCACACCCTTCATTTCCGTGCACTCAGAAATGTTCAATTTTGAAAAAATTCCGGATTTGACATGAAATTGTCATGACTAAACCGGGTCATAAAGTGATTATTCAGAAGCTCTATTGGGAATTTACAGATTGCAATAGTATTATATTAAAAATGAAGTCGAAATTTTAAAAACTATGTGGAAATCCCAAACAGTGAGCGACAAAAACGTATGGAAATAAATCATATGTGCAGTTTGAAATTTCTTGTATGAAAACCATGCGGAAATCTGTAAAAATAGCTCTAAAAAAATGATTGGTAAACCACTTCGATTTATAAGTTGTTAATTGCAATCAAAGTTAAATATCGTCTATCGGTTATATTTTATAGAATAAGAATGTTTCGATGTTTGCTTAGAAGACTCATTATCAGGAAAAATCTATTTTCCGCACTTTCCAACCAAAGTCCCAATGATTCCAAATATGGGACTTTCCACTGTAATAATGAATTTTACTCAGTACCATAACAAATGATTTTAAATACAAAAAATCAAATGGGCTGAAACCTAAGTTACAAAAACTTTAATCCCATTTATGCAAGCACAAATTTTGTTAATAAATGAAGAAAATAAATAGTACAAAAACAAAAATTTACCTGTAAGCAAATACCCTTTCTTCAGCAGACATATTAGTGACAGCTAGATCTTCGCTTTCCTCATGTAGCATATGAGCTCCAAATTTTTCAATCTAAAACAATCAATTTGAATTTTTAAATGATAGAAATGATAAATAATAGAAATTAAATTTAAAAATGATAGAAATTATGTTTAAGTTTTTCAGTTACTTCATAATAAAATAAATTTAAATAACGTGTTCAATGAAAGTGTATAAAAGATGAGAAATGTTACCACATATTATGTAACTACTTTTCTTTTTAAAATGGATACAAAAAATAAAGTTTAAAAAAATAGTACATTACTGTAATGCTTTTAATTTTATATGGTAATTTATTTTTGTTATCAATATAATGAAGCAATTAAATTTTTTTTTAAACTGTTAATAAATACTTTTTTTTCCTGATATTTATCCTCATGGGTCCATTATTATCAATTTGTCTATAAAAGTATATCAAGAATGAACACTCAGGGCATTATGAGATTTAAACAATAAAATTATATAAAACATTGAAATGCATTATTTAAGAGGAACGGTAAGATAAATTTACATCAAATACATACTTTTTCTAAACGAATCCTTAAATAACTGCTTAGAAAATATCGAATTCTATCCAACTGTAAGAAAAAGTTTGAATAAATTAAAAACAATAGCTCAATTAATTTTATTATGTTAAGGAAAAAGATGGAATACAGCTAGACAAAAAAAAAGAATATATTTTATGAGTGATAAAATGAACAAGCTTTTTTTACTATAATTAAAATTATTGATTTTTCAATATGACATATAATGAACTCAAATTTTATAATTTATGATGATACACAATACGAGGTACACTTATGATGGTACTTGAGTAGATACTAAATTTTCTAAAAAAATTTTTTCTTTTTACGTACACCTTTCTTTTTGTTTTGTATGTAGTATGTCTAAAAGCTTGTAATTATTAAAATCCCATGTTGTAGCAGAAATTATGCTGTAGCTAAGAAAAGCGAATTTTGTAAGTGTTCCTTCTCACATTTCATGCTGCTTGGGAACCATTAAAATACTACTATGTAAGCAAAATTTGACAATCTTCTTTTCTTTCAAAATGTAATCTCTTTCCAAAATTTAGACATTTATTTGCAAGCAATAAGGGACTATTTTCAGAATAATGTCCTACACAAGCACTGTTTATACTTTTCTTTTCCCTATTAAAATAAATAAATAAATACTTGCCTATTATTTGAAAAACCTCGAATCAATTTTGCTTTATCAAATCAAACATTTTTATATAGAATGAAAAAATCATCATAGGGAAATATCTACCAGTACATCATTTAAAATACAAATGCCAATGGACACACACACATATAATACACTATTAATTACAACCACTTTTATATCTTTTGAAAGCTCTAAAATTAGATTAGAATTACAATAACGGTAATTGTACAAACAAAAATGACTAACTCTAATCAAAACTTTAAATTTAATAAATAAAATTTTTATAAGTCAAATGCTTATTTATCTATTAAATTAAGGTAGATAAATTCTACGAATGCTAAATCTGTTGAGTACTGCTTTATAGCTATACCAATAATGAATAAAATATATTTAATGCAACTAAAGTTTGTTTTAAGATTAATTACTTTGTTTGTATGCTTCTGTTGTATACATTCACTTACTGAATCTGATTGTTTTTCTTCCCCTCAAATATTTATTTATTTAATTATTAAAAACTAAAATTGCATCAAAAGGCCTTCGTAAGTGATGCAATCAAAAACGATCTCTGATTGGTTATGACGTCACGTGCTGAATGGAAACATACTGCCTCCATCCATTAAGGCTATTTCAATGCTTTTTTAGTTTTGATAACACTTACATCGTATGAACATCTTTTGTATATTATTAATAAAAAAAAATTTGAATTCAATTTACAGTTTTAAGAGTGTGTGCAAAATGGAAGATTTTAAAACATCAAAATGTTTATTTATCACTAAAATAGCTGAAGATACAACTTTTCACAAAGAATCAGCATTTCTTTTGGGCGGAAATAAGTAGTGTAAAGTTCATAGAAAATAGTACAGTACAGGACCCGTTATCCGGAAAACCAAAAAACCGGAACGAAATTTGATAAATTTTTCCGCCATTTAAAAAAAACAATTTTTTTTTCCTCTTAAGATTTTATGATTTTTCTTTCTTTTTTGAAAGATGTTTACCTTACTATCATTTTGGAAATAATCATTAGTGTATTACTTCATCGTTTTTTCCTCTTTTTAAGATTATTTCCAAATAATTTTTTTTTAGTTGGGTTTAACAATAAAAAAATGGCTTTTTGTAACGATTCAGAAAACCGGAAAAATCAGTTATCCGGAATAGCGATGGTCCCGATCGTTCCGGATAATCGGTTCCCTACTGTATTTAATCCACTTATTTTTATGTTAAAATACTACTCCATTGCAGCCTTAAACCAACAAGGTGTCAAAAGATTTTTTGAACTTGCAAAATCTTTTAAAAAAAATAGCAGTTTTCTGTCTGGGAGTGGTTACAAATTACTTAACGACTTTGAGTCGGCTTACACCTGTGAAATTTATTTTTCTTTTTAGAAAGTCACTACCTGACAGTTGCCGTAACTTGGGGGATTATTTTGACACGGGTACTGACATAGAAATATAGTCATTTTCCTGTTTAGGGGTGAGATTTGAGCAATGGTGGTCTCTGAACTTCATTCAGAAAATTAAATGATAAACTTACATAAAATAAGACACCTAACTAAACACATGTGGGACTGTTTTTAGTTTAAAGTATTTTAATAAAATAATATTTAACCTCCATTTTGTGAACAATAAAGCGGAAATCTTCTTTCTGATACTTCCGTAATATATTTTCCATATATTGCATCTGATCTATAAAACAATCTACTAATGCTCCTTCATACATTAGTAATTCAGGGGCAAATTTTTCATTCAACCACACCTAAAAGATGAAATAAATAAATTATATTTCTGATACAACTCATAAAATATAACTTTAAACGGGGAAATTTCCGTATTAGTATATGTTTGCAACAATTACCTAAGCTAAAAGTTTTTTAACTTGCAAATAAATATATTAAAGATGTAACGAATAGTGATTGAACAGAACAGTTGAATATTCGGCCAAAAAAATCAGCGAGTACTAAATACTTGGCGTTCGAATTTTTTATAATAAATTTTTTCTCAATAAATAAGTTTAGTCATTATTGTAATCAAATCTTAGTTATATTACTGGTTCGCGGAAGAAACTATAATAGAAATATTTAAAATATGAAAGATAATTTTATATTGAAAATATTTAAGATAAATAACAAAACTGACTAACTACTATTAAATAAAAAAATATCGTAAGAAATCTTGAGAAATAGAAAAAAATATTCTTTCAATTCTTAAAACAAATATTTAATGCTTAAAATAATATTTTCTGGAAAAAAGAATCTATGCAACATTAATAGAGATATAGTAGTTTAAATAGAAATATAGATATAAGACAGAAATGCTCTTAATGTTGTACTAATGTAAAAATCTCCATAAAAATAAGAGATTATACCTATGCATTAACAAAACAGAAAAAATGAAAATCGAACTTAATTTTTGAAAATATTTTTTAAAATTAAACATTTCAGTTTTCAAATTACTGTATTTTCCAGATAAAGTGAAGAAAAAAGTCGAATAGAGATCTTCTTGATTACTGTGCTATAATAAAAACTTCTATAGAAACAAAAATCTTTTAAAAAAGAAGAGGCTCATTAGAAATCAAAAAAGAAAAAAAATTCTTTTTCAATTTTTAAACATAATGCAACTATTTAATATAATTATAAAAAAAATCAGCAGTACAACACTCATGGTTTAGTATAATGTAATCTAGTTTCAATTCTTCACTTTTCCCCCTTTGTCTCCCAGAATATATATTAACAAATGTTAGAGCTTAACAAATATGAGTAAAAACTATTTCCAATAATGTATAGTAAAAAATACGATATTAAATTACTGTTTATTAAATGTATTTCAATTCCCCCCCNCCCCCCCCAAAAAAAAAAAAAAAACTATTCAGCAAAAGGGCCGAATGCTCGCTACATCTCTAATATATTTACATACTAATTTATATATTGAATATGAGGAGGATACGAGTTATACTCTTCGAGTTGGTCCCTTGCTGAGACGATTTCATTTAGATTCTGGAATGCCCGGTTGTCGCAAAAGTTTGGTGAATTTTTTCGTGCAAATAATAATACGGAAATTTTCCCCTTTAAACAATTAACATCTTTAAAACAATTGCCTCTTCTAATTTTTGAAACACTTGAGTTGGAGTAGGCTCGTCATCATTATCTAATAAGGAATCTAAGTTAATATCATCCATGAGTACAAATTGAATTCACTCAATACTTAAGCAATTTCAATTGAATTATATTGTTTATCCCTTTTATAAATCTTTGGAATAAATAAACATCAATTTTCCCGCAAAAGAAATAGTGGGAATGATGTATCTGCTTATTTCTGCTATAATCAAAGATGAATGAAACAGATAGGCTTGAAAGTTATTAAAATCAGTCCTCATGAAATTCCCATTTAAAAAATTTTATCAGAAAATTCATAATTTACACTCACAAATTAATTTTATAGATCGTGTCATTTCTTCAGTGACTCATGCACTTTAATAAATTGCTTCTAAAATTTTATTGATAATGAATTTGGCATCACGGGTAAAGACTTGTGATAATGAAAAATGAATATTGCGTTTTGTTTTGATTGAAAAGAAAGTAAACAACAGTTTGTTGGTTTCTTAAATTACTTTTTTTCTTTCAGTTTTCAATAAACGGAAAAATCTGATATTCACAATTAATTTCTATTTTCTTAAGTGTAAAGAAATTTGACTTGTTACAGGTTGAAAATTTAAGGTAAATAATTGAGAAAATTTGACAAGTGCTGTCGTTTTTCTTCTACTGTTTCTATTGTACATTTATTATCAAAAATTAAAAAAATTCACCATATATATGAAAATGGTATCAGATATTTTTTTATAAATATAAAATTATCTTCTCTCTGAAATATATTTATTACTAATTTATTGTAACTTAGTTTAGTAATAATACTTCAATTTTTTTTTATTTCAATGTCTTGAAAAATCATTACCTTAATGAATGGAAGGTTGTAAAATTGTACTTAGAATAAAGACTACCTACCAATAATTTATATTTTGTTTATTTAATGCTTGCTTGTTAAACATTTATTTGTGAATGTTATTCTCTGATTTTGTTAGTCACTGATTGAAAATTAATAATGTAAACGATGTGTTTGAAAAAATAAGAAAGCATATTTTGCATCTTGCTGTTATTCATTAAGACAGTATTTGTTTTGTTTTTTTTAATCAAAAATCAGGGTTGAAAAAGCAGCTAATAATTAATGTTCTACTAAGGAAACAGTTGGGTAAGTAAAAATCATCAACATAGTTGGGAAATCAGCTAAACAGTATTTTTGGCTTTTAAATTTGCAGTTGATTTTAATTAATTTATTTTAATAATGCTTACTAAACGAACGATCTTTATATCTGAAATATTTTTTTTCTATAGAAGATGCCTTTACTGTACTCAGTTGTTGCCCATGGAACATCAGTTTTAGCCAAATATGCCAAATGTGTTGGTAACTTCTCTGAAGTGACAGACCAGGTGCTTGCCAGAATATCACCTGAGCAGCCAAAATTAACCTATTCTCATGGAAGGTGAACTGGAATTTTGATTATTTTCTAAACCATTTAAAAAAATTATTGTCTTACTATCTCGAAGCAAATTTGTGTTTTCTCATTATCTGTTTAATCAAATTTTTTTCCAGCTACTTATTCCATTACATTTATGAAGAGGAAATGATTTATCTGTGTATTACTGATGATGTAAGTAAATTCTGTTTCTTTTCTTACTTGTTTTTTCAAATGTTTTAAATAATGGAGTTAAAAACTCTTGAAGTTTGTTCGATTTTCTTGCGATAATGTACTGTTGGTAAAATTTAATTATCAAAAATTAGTTATATAATACTCTACTTTTCCAATTTGTCAGTGCGGGCAATTAAGTCGCCAATGCAAAGTCACTGGACGCTAGTAAATTTAATTGGGATTTTTTAATTGATGCCTATTTCTTTTCTTTAAAAACAGTTTTCCTGCATCAATAAAATAGAAAAATAACCAAGGATAATTTTTGCAGTTAAAATTTATGGCTATTAGCAAAATATCTCCAAACTTGTTTGAGCAATCAGAATTGAGCGCATATCTATTTAGGATATAAAATAATTAGCTTATGATTTTAGAATTTTTTACTTTTTTAACTAAATAAAGATGAAGTATACTTCATTGTTGCATATGAAGCTAAACAGCATGAAAAGGGACAGATAGTCTGTCTACAGTAAGAACTCCCCTAGCTATTCATCTGAACCCATGGTGGCGACTATTTTAACGAGGTATAATTATTTCAAGAATTCTACTTTCTGACTAGTCGTAAGCTTACTGTAATTAAAAATATCAATTAGTGATGCAAAACTAATTGGTCAAATCTATGTGAAAAACAAATGAAAATAGCAGTTATCCTAATTTAGATATTTGATATACTTGAGACACATAGGTACTGCATGTTTGATCTGCCTTTGGATTTCTCTAGTTTGATATGAAATATTTTAAACTATTTATTATGTTATGCTTCATTATGCAAAATCACTAAGTATTAGTGCCAAAAAAAATTTTTTGTTTATAAAATTCAATAAATGATTACCTTTTACACAATTGCAGAATTATTTTATTCATAAAACAAAATTACTGAATAAAACAAATTTACTGTATAGGATAATTGGATATTGTTTCTGAATAAAGTTTTCTTACATGTTACAACATGCCTCATGAGGTGGACCAAGGTACCATGTTCCACCCCATTATGATACTGTTCAGTGACTTTTTTTTTTTTTAAATTAATACGAAAAAAAATTCCAACTGAACAATTTAAAAAAAAAATCATAAATAGAGAGGAGAAAGCAATTTGTCTTATAGGAAAAAATTAAATACAGATAATTTTTAATGAAATAAAAAATATTGAAAAGCTTGATCAACTTACTTATTCTTACCAATGTTGTTACTTACTTCTTACTAATATTGTGGACCCACAATATTAGTAACAAGCTGAATAATTTAAAGTCAAACATTTATAAATAAAGGCTTCACATTGTTGATATAAAATAAAGTGTTTTTGGGGGGTAAAAATTATAAAATAATATTTTTTTAATATTTTATAGCATTTTGAATTAATTTAAATCAATTTTGAAAACTTTATAATATAGTTTTGCATATTTTTAATTGAATAAATATAAGATAAAAAGAAATAAGTTTTGTTTTACCTTTTTATATCTTTTTCATTTATTTATTTTTTTTAAATTTATTTTTATTTATAAAAATTGTTTAATTATATAACTTATTAGTAACACTTATTTTAAAGAAAATTTGTTCCATATTAAAACTTAAATTTCAGATTGCAATTATTTATCTAATCATAGTTAATCACAATTTTAATGACATAATTATTTTAACATTTTAGGACTTTGATCGTTCTCGAGCATTTGCTTTCCTAGTAGAAATCAAAAGAAGGTAATATTGAGTTTTCTTTTATTAATATTGCATTTTATAAGGTTATATATTTATGAAAAATATCAACTTTGCATGTTAACTTTTTATGTTTACTTTTTATGTTTTATAACATTTACCTATTGTTATACTAAACTACCATTCTATATTATACTTTTAGAAAATTTTATATTATATTTACTTATACTACCATTATTTATATTCATGTTTTACTACAACTTATCCCATTATTTTATGATTATTATCAATTATAGAATAATTAGTAATTTTTTATGCATTAATAAAATATTTCTGTGATAATTATTAAGGCATAATTTATTTTAGATAAATATGTTTTAAAAAATCAAATGCAATAGTTGTTGTTAAAAGTTTTTAATAAGTGTTGTTTAACCCTTTCGCGACGGGAAGCGTGAAAACACGCTTACTGCTAAGGCTAGCGGTCTCTCGCGTGTGTATCTCCAGGGCCGGAGGGTTTTTTGCTGTTAAGCCTAATTCCATGAAATTACCGAAATATCAACGCGTTGTTTAATATTGTTCTGTAGAGTATTTAAATGGCATATGCTTTATATATATTTCTATGAATACTTTATTTACTTAAGTTATTTCTTGTTTAAATATATATTTTACACATTTTATTTTCATTATGTACTTATTATTTAATAACATTTAACATAAAATATCTGAAAACTAAATATATGACTTAAAGTTCTTTTTTCGTATGAAAAATTTTAAAGTAGAGATCTACAAGATCTAACTATCCACTAAAAACTAAACCGAAAATCGAAGGAGCGAAAAAAAAACCTCCCCTGCTTACTGTAAACAAATACCACGTGCGAATTTAAAGAGCAGTCATAAAACATTCCTTACCCCTGAAAACCATGTGAATGTACTCTCATCTTGAGTAGAAGGTCAAATCTACATGTATCTGAAACCATATGGGCATACAATGCCATCTTCTGGAAGAAATTTTATTTTTTAAAACATTCTGAAACGCTGGCACAAATAAGTGACGGCCGGGGGTGAGCGAGAAAACACTCTGGCATGCGAGTGTGTGGGCCAGGAAGTGAGCGCATTTCTTGCTGGCATGTATATGTGACAGTCAGCGCGAAAGGGTTAATAAGTGAAATTTATAATTAAAAGTAAGAAATATCATTAACAATTGAAAAACGGGTACACTGTGTATGAATTTATGTTATAATTTGAATTTATATTATATTATAAAACCTCCTCTGTTTGGGGCCACATTTGGACAGCAAGGAATTTTCCCATAAGCTTTGTATTGTAACAAACCTCCCGATCAAATGCACTAAAATGTAGATAAGGAAACACTAAAAGATATCAAAGCAAAAAATATTAACAAAACATATAAATCGATTCAAATGTGTTCGAAATATTTGTAAGTGGTTCTTGTCTAGAGAGCTCTTTTTGACAATCTCTAAAAGTATCTCGAAAATCTAATTTTGCAGTCAGCCTGCACTAAAGTTGATACAACCAATGATTTATTTTTAGAGTCAAAAGTAAAATTCGATAAAAGAGTTATTTTAGAACAAAAACTACCTTCTTATTTTTGTAAAGCAAACTAATTTTTATGACGTCCGGTGGCTGAGTGGTGGTTTGCGATCCCGTGCCGCAGGTCCTGGGTTCGATCCTCGGGCCGGACGAGGTTCACTCAGCCGTTAATCCCTTCAGTGGGTCGATAAATGAGTACCGAGCATGCTTGGGAACTAAACACTGGGGGTTTTGCGTTCGGCTGACGACCTAACCGGAACATCTGCTCCTGCACCCCACAGTCCAAGGTCAAGAAAACTGAGATGGGCACATTGGGCCTTGGCCCTCTATGGGCTGTCACGCCACTGAGTTTAGTTAAACTAATTTTTATCATTAAATTAAATGAAAACTTGAAGAAAACATAATTGTTTATTTATATAAAATAGTTCTATCATTCATAATTGGTAAATTTGTTTTTCACATAACTTTATTAGTAGGGGTCATTTTTATCAATGCTAAATTTTATTCATCGATCTGGTTTTCATGGCACAAACACAAACTGTATTTCCGCTCCAAGAAAATTATATTGGGTAGAATTAAAATCGCTTTTGAAAGATCGCATACCTTTGATAACATTTTGAAGTCAATGGTGGTAATCCCTAAGAACGACCAACTTCCATTAACGACCATTTTACTGTGGTACGTAAAGTGATCACTCCTGAAAGTACAATTACTGTACAAGTTTAAATAGACCGTTTCAATTGAGGAAACTATATTTATGTTATTCATAGTATGAAACTAGTTTATTTAAAAGTTTTCCTGTCACTAATTACCTATTCAAAAGTAGGCGGGAAAAAAAGTTTTACTGCATTTTCGAAATTTCAAGTTTTAAATTTCAATGCATAATAATTGGATTCTTTTAGAAATTTTGTTCATCTTTTCAGATTTAAAAATGCGTATGGAAATAGAGCCATTACTTCATTCCCTTATGCTTTAAACACTGAGTTTTCAAGAGTTTTATCAGCTCAAATGGTATGTGACATTTTCATGGCTTATAATTTTTTCATTTATTCTTTCTTATCAATGTTTATTGTAAGTAATAGTTTTTTTATGAGAGAAGTATCACTTTAAAATATGAATATCTTGTTTAATGGTAGAAAATAAAATTTGTGGAAATTTGTTTCCAAATTTACAAAAACTACTTAAAAAATTTCTAGTAACTTAATAAATTCTCAAGATATTCGAATCTGATTTTTTTCACAAGCTACCAAATACAATTCAGAACAAAATTATAAACAAATAAATAAATGCTGTTGTTGTTGCTTATCCTCATCTGGCCTGACAAAGTCAGACCAGATCTATGAGCTCGTTGACCTGAATGAAATCGAAGACCGAAAGAGGAGTATAGTTGATTTCTTCCCAGAGAAGACCAAGACAGTCCAGGATATGATAGGCGGAAGCTGGGTGTAGGTGGCAATTAGGGCAGAGGGGTTAGGTTTTAGTTCCTTCAGAAAATAGTAAAAAAACCTGTTGACCAAAATTAAATGTTTTCTGCATATGCGCAGTATGAATGGATGACTTTGAATATTGATACCTTTCACAATTCTTAAGGATTTTTTTTTTGTAAATTTTAAAATATTTTTGTTATTAATTAAAAATTGCTCAAAATTTTGTTTAATTTTGTTGAATATTTCTGCATTTATAGTAAGAAACATAAGATAAAAAAATTTATGAAAATATCCATATCTCCTAAATATTTTTGCTAAGTTTAGGAAATTTTGTGTAATTTTTTAGCCAGAGTAATTTGATGCAAGTTACAATCTTATTGCTGTATTTTTTGGTATAGAATGTTCAAAAATACTAATTTTTGTTCGTAATGTATTGTTGGTCCCTTATACCTCTCTTTAAACTTTATGGAAATGGATGAGAAATCGCATGACCGAAAAACTTCCATGTTTTTAAAATAATTTTCTAAATATTTCTTGGGAAATATGAAAAAATTAGTTAGTGTTGAAGGGTTTTTCCACAAATTTTTTCCAATCCCTGTATATATATATATAATGTAACTCAAATCAAAGAGAAAGCAGATGTGATATTGCGGCAGTTAACTTTTCAGTTTTATTTTATTTTATTTTTTTATGTTTCTCTAAACAACTTTTATAAGTATGTTATTAAGTATAGTTTATAATTTCAAAATTTTGTTTTGTGAAACTCTTGTTTTTAATATTGATCTGGAAAAGTAATAAATTATTGCAAAGCATGATTTTATCATGCAATTATTGCATTTCAGTTAACACATTATATAAATTTCAGTTCATAACATTATATAAATTGTTGGTTTGTGATTTCTCTAGAAAGAAATTAATTTCTCTAAGTACACTGACAAAAAAAAAAAAAAAAAAAAAAAAAAAAAAAAAAAAAAAAAAAAAAACAGAAATTGACCAATGCAATTGTTTAACAATATGTATGTATAAAATTAATCTATTATATTTATGTTTCTTAAAAAAATAATAATGTTGCTAAAATTAGTTTTTTTTGTAAGAAATTTAAATGTTTTTTTTTTTCTTTTTTGTAAAAATTTTTAAAACATAATTATTATATATAGGTAGAATTATTTGTGTTTACAGATTTAATTCTGATAACTGAGCAAATTTTTTCCCTTAAGTCGTATTACTTTTTTAAAATTCTTCTCAAAGTTTTAAATACAATTTTTTTATATTAATGAATTCTTTTAGTAGCTGGAAGATCATACCCCCTGATGCTGAACTTGCCAACCCTCAAAACTGCTTTCACAGTTCCTTTCAGATTAATTTGAAATTCTCGCTCATTGCATATTTGTGCATTATAGTGTTTGCATGAGTGGAGTACACTTTACAAAATGAACCTCTAAATGTATGCTACATATGTATCCTGTGTAACATATCTGCCAACATTCTGATCCTGTGTAACATATCTGCCAACAATCTGATTTCGCTGGAAGATTTTTGACTTTTCAAATATTTTTTTAATTATTATATTAGGTAACAAGAAAAATAATTTGTAGAAAAAATATTAATACACAAAGGTGTGGTAAAAAAAAAACTGCAGATAATTGCCCCTGTAGAATGACAATGTCATGGTAATGTGATGTGAAGTGAGGGAACAAGTTGTTTATCTTGTTTCTTTGCTTGTGGTTCTTCTTGTTTCTTTGCTTAACCATCTTTCCAACATTGCTGTGATTGCTCAACTTTTATATTTCGATTTAACTTCTTCATTTATGGTGATGATGTTAGCATGAAGTATTTCTTGAGTGTCACTTACTTATTGGAAATATTAAGAAATTGGAATCTCTAAAACCTTTTTTTATCTTCCATAGTTTAAATATTTATACTTTTAATTAAAAGTCTATTTTTAAATAACTTCTCAATGATTATTTTTTTTACTTAAACATTAAATAATAGTTAATCTAATTTTTTTGTTTCAGAAACATTTCTCTGATAGTCGTGATGTTGATAAACTGACAAAAGTTCAAGGGGAAATAGATGACCTGAAAGAAATTATGGTTCAGAATATTGGTAATTTCATGTAGTACTTTATTGAGCATTAGCAATTGAAATCTTTTGCGGCTTCGATTTAGTAATCCTTGCCGTTTGTTATTATTTTTGTTTCAAGCAAATTTTGAAAAAGTAAAAGTAGGCTGATTGTAAAATAAAATATATCTTAATTATCACATTAAGGTTTAAACCGATTCATGTTTTCATCTTAATGGATGAATCCTTTAAAAGAAAAGCTTAACTATTATTACGGCCAAATTCATTTGTGACAGATATCAGTGGGGAAAATTTGTTCTGGGTTGCTATGCTACCTGGAAAATCGGAAAAAGCTAGGGAATTCAGAAATTGTCCAAAGAATCAGAGAATTTAATATTTGTTAGCCAAAATCTGGAAAAGTCAAAGAGTTTGATGTGGCAAATGCCAAACATGCTATCTTTGTACTAACATTTCTCATGGAATACTTCTCCTACACAAGAGTTTCATTTTCACCCATTTGGCATGGAGTTAAATTTCACAGATCGTAGCATGTCATGGTTTTGTGACTTCAAAATTTAAAATTAATTTGAAAATCTAAAATGTAGCAGATACCCTGTATATTTTTTTATTTTTAAAATTTGGAATTTTATGTAAATTGACCTGGAAAAGTGGGAGAAAATTTCTTCATTTTTGAATATGAATCCTGTAAAAATGAAAAAATTTAGATAATTTTCCCCCTTTCTTATCAATGATTTTAAATAAGTTTTTACTTCTGATTATAATATATTAACTTTATTACAAAGCAAAAGTTGTATATTTTGTAAGGTGTTTCTATTCATATATGTATAATGCTCGTTTCAGAAAATGTGGCTAATAGAGGCGAAAAGCTCGAGTTGCTTGTAGCCCAAACTGATAATTTAAATTCTGCGGTATGTATTTCTCATGTATTTTTATTTACCTTACTCAATATTATAATATACTGTGGAATGTCTGGTTTAATATTTTTTTCTTTTTGTTTTTTTTTGTTATGCTTTTGTTAAAAAGAAATATTAAGTATGAGTCATTAATAATTTTTTTTTTTTTAACTTGTAATTTACAAGTTTTTGGAAATAAATGCAATATTTATGCCTGATATTGAATCAGAAATTAACACTGAGAAAAAAATGTAAAATCTAAATTTTTTTAAATAAAAACTATTAAGATTAGAAATATAATTGTCTTAAGGTAACACTATGTCTGACATATTTTACTCCTATTTGTGAACATCCTTTCAAATGTTAAATGCAATTTAAGAAAAAAAATATTTATATAGTCATTAAAAAGTGCATCAATAAAATAGTAGGAGGCTTCAACTTTAAAGCCAAAGCTTTTTGGCTTCACAAATTTTTCAAATAATATCTTCCTTAGAAAAGAAGGGGATGAGAAACATATTGAATTCAAAGTTGTGAATAAAATTTTAATATGGTTAACCTTTTATTGCTCATGTTCATGATTTCTAGATAGGAAGAACAGTTAATTGCATAATAATTACTCGGAATTTTTTTACATTATATTTAAATCAATTATATTTAAGCATTCACTTAATTTTTAAATTTTATCTTAATTTGCATGTACTGGGTTTTCCAAACATGTCAATTTAAGAGAAATAAAAGTGTATAGTTTGCTATATTCTGCATTGGAAACCATAAAACTATTCTCTTGGACTATTTAATTGGATTTATTCTATTTTTTCATTAGACTATTTTAAAAATTATGATTCTCATGTTTGCAGACTTTAAAAGCCTATAAATTTTTTCAACCTATTTTTTTGTTAAAATAACTCTTGCTGTCATTTACACTCCAATTTTTAGGATTTTTCATGAGTTAAAAACTTTTTAAAAAATTCAACATTGGATGTTAGGGAGATAACATAATATGTTATGTCCTTTTGTGCCAGTTAACAGTTTTTTTTTTTAAATTTTTGAATTTTTAAAAGCTTGAGCTAATTAAATTTGGGGAACTGTAAATGATATTGAGAGTTATGTTGGCAAAAATCCTTAGAACTACTTGATTTTTTAACTAAATTGTATGCCTTTAAAATCAACAAATGCGGCATTTTTAATTAATGGAGTTGTCTTATTAAGTGAAATTCTAATAAAAATATTATAAATTTTTTAGTGTGTGATATTATAACAAATTTTACTTAGTTTAAATAAGTTAGATTAAACCCAATTATTGCACTAATAGTCTTTAAATGACTGTGTGGGTATTATGAAATTATTAGTTAGTTGTGGTTAGTTATTATTAGTTGTTATTAGTTATTATTAGTTGTGGGTATTAGTTTATGAAAACTGTACTAATGCCATAGTAATTAATGGATATTTTAGTTTTGATAAATACTTGTTTCTTCGATTAAAATGTCATAACTAATATTGAAGTTCTTTCATTTTTCTAGTCAGTTACTTTTAGGAAGACTAGCAAAAATTTAGCTCGTTCCATGTGTATTAAGAATGTGAAAATAACAGTGATTACTATTATTGTTTTTTTGGTGAGTAATTTCATATATTGTCTTAATTTTCAGTTTTTTTAAATTTTTTTACTTGCTATGATTGTGCTAATATATCAAATCCCTACAACCTAAATACTGTTTTCTTCGGAATTGCTGACATTCTTAGAATCCAAAAAGTGTATTTGCTTTCTTCATTTTTTATAAAGGGAAACAAACATATCTCATTTCTCTCTATTTATTTATTTTCCTAAATAATAGATTACAAAATAATAATTGATGTTCCACTTTTAGTAAAACATTGCTGGAGTATAAAGCATTAAAAAATAATAGCTATTTCTGGAACGACAAGCACAATAAATTCAACCATTATATTATTTTCCTACTAAATATTTATATACACATGGATAAAAATTGCATGAAAATTATAATCAGTCTGCACATTTTAATTAGACATGTAACTCACATGGTATGATTTAGTTTTTTCACATCAAGATTACTTTGGTTATAATCAGCAATAAGTTATAAAGGTATTGTTTACTTGTAAAATATTTCTTTATCCCTTATTTAGAGGTATTACATTTATTTATCACACATTTTTTTAGTTTCAATAACTGAAAAAGTAGTGTTTCCTTTTAATGAAGTAATATTTTGATATTTCTCATTGCCTAACATTTTATGAAAAATATATTTAAATAAGCATCTAAACGTGCTGATAGTTTTACAATTCTTAAACAGTTAATGACTCACATGTGTTATCTTTTATTATAGTCCTTATTAAAACTGTGTTCAATCTACATATGCAATTAAAATATTGAGTACAAAATTGTGAAACATTGTTAGGCATTAGTACCCTAGCTAAATTTTCTCTTTGGTGATCAACATTTAACAATTTTTTTTATAACCCCAAAATAGAATTAAATATAAATAAAATTTCTTTATGAAGTTGCAACTATAATAAGCCAAAATTATTTGGTTTAAATTTTATATCAATTGATTCAAAAGTTCCATCTGTGGAATAAAATCTGTGTCAATACTATAAAAATATTAGGATCTTTTAATTGAAATTTTTTTAAACTTTGATGTAAAATTAGTTTAGGGTTGAAAACAAAAGTGATTGCCTAGCAGTTCTGAGCTTTTACATTTCTGATTCCTTTTTAGTCCCCAAGATATTGAATTGCAGTTTGGCTGCCCTAAAGAATCCAGATTTTTTTCAGTCAAGCATCACATACCAACTTTTACAGTTTGTCGCGGAGATTTTTCTTGAATATTTAAAATAGGAGAAAATTTTATGCTCTACTACTTTATTTTTGGTTTAATAAATTTTATGTGCAATGATTTTGATCACCACTACATCAAAACATTTTAAACAAATATCTAAGATCTGGCACAATTAAAAAAACAATTAAGTTTAAATTAAGCTTAACTTTTATTTTATTACAACCTTAAATATTGGGGGTTGCGAGAACTGCCATATTAACATTTATGCTGAAGTCAATTTTCTTTGGTAGTATTTTGGTGAGTCAGGGTGGTAAAAAGTAATGACCAAATTTGATTAGAATGTAATAAATTTATTAATAAAAATTTAAAATTTTAGTAAAATTCTCTGCTTTTTTTAGTATTACCCAAATTGTTTACATTTTTTTAAATAGATTTTTCTTTTGCAGGTTATATTGTACATAATTGTATCAGCATCTTGTGGTGGACTGAGTTGGCCAAACTGTGTTTAAAAATAAGCTTTTTGATCAAAATAAGAACTGTTTATTACTGTCCTTGTATATATAAGCATTTTATATAGAGTATGAAATATATGCAAAAATAGAAAATCTAAGTTTTTAAAGTTAAGAAGGGTTTATCTATTTTTGCTCAAAAGAATCTTTCATTATTGTATATGGATAATAATAATATGTAAGTTTACTGCAGCTTAGCGAAAATTTTTCAATGTGAATCATTATATAATTTGCATACTAATTATCATAACTGATATTCTCAAACGAAGTTTAAGTTTTTACACTTCAGCTTCATGTTAGCAATCATGAAGCTGATTTTAAATTATGATTGCATTATTTTTAAAATTTTGTAGTTTACCAATTTTATACGAGCAGTTTTATTTTTGTATCTTTAACCCTCTGAGCATTAGTCACAGCTTTTTTTAAACTTTCAGATGTTTCTGTGTCAAAAAATTGGTTTCTCCATGTTATTGAATCAGAAAAAAATGCACAACAGGAAAATTTCTATGCTATTTCATCTAGGGGATCAACCCCTTGGAGGGTTAAAAAAAAAAAAGCTTGCGGATCATTATCTAATCGGGTTTGCATATGAAACTAATTTTTATACTTTCGTTAACGATGCATACTTACTTTTATTCTCTATTCAGGTTTAAAACCAGGGAAGCTTTGGTTCATTACCTTAGCATATGAAGTAATTAGTCTTATGTGCCTGGAACGGTCAAATGTCTCAAATTAGTTGCCCAGAGTTAGTAAAAAGAATTAAAAGCATGCAAAAAAAATTTCTTATTAAATTACTTCCGTATTTTTAAAAAAAATTTAGCTTTTTTAATTAATATAAGGCATAAATAATAGCTATTTTTGATTAAAATTGAACACTGAAATGCATATTTTGTTTGTATGACATAAATTACTCTGAATGCATTGAAAGCGATTAATAAACTAAATGCAGAACTGTTTTATACCGGTTTTTAAAACTAGAAACACATGAATCTCCAAAATTGTGCAGAACTTTGTTTATAGTGTATATTATATTACAGAAATGCTTTGTAATAACTAATGATTTAATAAATGCTGTACTGTCAAAGTTGCAATTTTTTTAATGTTTAATACTTGCAATGAAGGATCATGAGCTATTTTTTATAGAAATTAAATGGCCAGGGAAAAAAAGTAGTTAAATTTTGTTTACTTTTACACTCCTCTCACCTTCAAACAGTAATAAAATGATTAGATGTAGAAATTCACCAGAAACTATCACTGTCGCTTCATTAAATTATTGCATTAAATAAAATTTAGATTTGATCATCATCAAGAAAAATTAAAAAGTACTTTTTTTGAATTTAAATTTTTTTTTTAACAGAAATATATTTGCACTGAAACTGCAAGTTTTTTTTTGTTAAATAAAGCTCGGTTTTTAATTAGATTAAAAGAATAAATATTTCTATTTTTAAAAAAAACATTAATAAAATTTCTCAACAAAATTTCAATTTATAACCAAAAGTAAAAATATCCACATTGTTAATTATTTCATATAAACAAATGTTTTGGTCAATATTGGCATTTAATCTTATGGTGCCTCAAAAATCATTCAATTTAGTGGGTGACAGTTTTTAAAAATCAGTAAAATAAAATATGAAATTTTAATATTTGTTCTCTTACGTATTGCCTACTTCTTACTTATAATCTAACCTACATCTAATAATATTTTTCATCTTAAATTGATTGTTACAAAAGTAATAAAATTTATTTCAATGCTGATCTTTTCTTTCTTAAGAATCTTAAGGAAAGAACGAAATATTTTGTAATTAAATGCTACTCAATAAATAAGCTTATCTTTCTCATTATTTAAGCAGCTTAGAGCATGCATCGAATACCTACACTTTTGGAAATATCTTAAATTTAATTTTCTAAGCACTTGGTTCAGATGTAGCTTTTTATATTTATGATAAATCCCCCAAATAATAAAGAATAGCACCTCTAAACTATAAAAAACTTTTATAAAATTTTTTTTATTGTGTGGGGAATTTAAAAAAAAAAAAAAGCATTATTTCATTTTATTTTCAACATTTTTGTTTATGAAATTGATTAATTTGTGCAGCGCACAACTCCTTTAATCTCAAAGAGTTACTTAAAAGCAGGGCTGTTGAGAAAATTTTGAATTTTCGTGGAGTCAGAGTCTCAAAGATTTGCTCAATTAAAATCGTGTAAGAGTAAAAAGAAATGTTTGTAATCTTATAGAATTATTTGGACTGTAAAATTATAACTATGCAAATAAATATATAATTTGAAAGAGTTATAGGGCACTTGTTAAAATTATAGTTTGTCACAAAATTAATTTATCATATTTTGGATTAGAATATCATGTTTGATTAAAAGAATATCATGTTCAGAAAATTTTTGGAACTATTGAAAATCACACTAGCCAGCATTTCTCTGCAAATAATATATAATAATAAAATATTCAGTCATATATATCATAAATTGATTATCTCTTTATTAATTGATTAACTTTTTATACATAAATTAGAAAACCAAATTTATTTAACTAGGTTGAAAATTTACTTAAAAAATAGTGTGTATGAAATTAATGTATTTATATTTTTCAAGTTCATGAATAGTCACTAAAAAATCTTCTTGTCATAAGCTGTATGTGTGGCTCATAATGATTTCGCACTTGTTCATTAGATTACATCTCGTCTTTCTTTCCACTAAGCAAAGTATACATTGGGAGCGTTTCATAACAGGGCTCGAAAAAACTCAGAAATTTTACCCGTCCCCGAGGACGGCTTGCTCGACAATGTACCCGTCCTCCTTTGAAACTAACCCGTAACTTGTAAATAAATAAAAATATAATTTTCTCTTATTTATTACAAACATTTATATAAACTGCACAATGAATTAGTAGTTACTAGGATTACAAATAGTAGGATTAAATTATACAGTAATAAAAGAAATACTAGGTTACTAATAGTAACCTAGTATTTCTTTTATGAAAGAATTTAAATGACAAAGGTCAAGTTATCTGGAATGTCAATTTATCTGAGGGTACTTAGTTTTTTAAATGAATCAAATAAGACGTTTGCCAGTTGCACAATCTCGCTAATGATTTTTTTGAGGTTTCTACACATAAATCTGAAAGGGGTTTTCCATTTAGGTAGATGTTCATAATTGCGTTTAACGCTTCTTGTTTAAGACCAGTACGTAATGTGTTTTTTTATAAGTTCATTGCTGAAAAGCCTATTTTAACCGCTGCAGTACTCCCAGACAGAGAAAACATCAATTCCACCATGCGCAGTATGTTGCTGTATTGTGGGTCATTTTGCTGCATTAGGTCTTTATAAATAGCTTGGGCTCGGAGGGCTGAAGTTTTCTGGTGTTCAACGATGTTATGTATCTTAAATTTTAATGTCACAAATTAAAATTTATATATATATTCCAACAAAAATTAAAAGTGTATCACGAATATTAAAGGGAAAATGGCCGTCCGCGCGGACGTCGGATTCGAGAAATTCGTTGTCCGCGGGGAATTTTTGACCGCCGTGGACGGGTGGTTTTTCGAGCCCTGTTTCATAATATTTTATGCTGTCTACACTCTTTATTACGACCTCCTTTTACAACGACCCATGCATAAATTTCATTTCCTTTTTCATGGACATAATGTTATTTTTTCACCCACTAGATTGCTCACACCAAACCTTTCATTCCAATATTGAATGTTGATCTTGTAAATATCAACTTGGAAATAATAGGTGACAAAAAATGTTTCGTTTTCAAAACAAATACTTCAGTGAAACAAATTAATCATTAGGTTTATCAATTTTTTTTTATTTTAAAAAAGTGGTTTAGTTGAAACCCAAACCTCACATTAAATGTGAAATATTTAGAATTACTTTTGAATGAAGGAGTGACATACAACCATTCAATCTGAAATTATCATAGGTGGTCAAGTCTAAAGTTTTTAAGTTATGAGTAAATATTTATTGAACATAATATAACGAACTAGTATTATAATGTCCAATTTTGCTTTTGCGAAAAGGGACATTATATTGAGTGTCGACGGTATATAAATTATACCTTTTATATATTTGTTTCAATTGTTAAAACTTTTGTATTTAATTTGTATCTCTTCAAAACAAAGTTTAATATTTGATAAGAAATTTGTTTTTCACAATTGTGTATTGAGAGTTTGCTTTATTGAATGCACACAAAATCTACTATTTTGAATTTAAAAATTGGGGTTGAGATACAAACCGGAAAATTTGGTATGTTTTATTATATATATTTTTTTAACTTTAATATCATCAATAAAGTTTTTACTAAGAGTTCAAATAATAACTCTATTTCTGTTTTTCAGAAAATTTTTCATTTCTCAAAAATTATGTAAATTTCTTTTTATTTATGTATTTTAATGCAGCTAAGAAGTTCAGTTTTCCTAATGTTTTTTTTCTTCTTTGCTTAAGAAGTTTAACTTCCAGCATCTGAATCAATCAACTTGTTTTTTAATGTTTCTAAACATGAAAATAAAACATTACGATGATTATTAATCTGTTTCTTCTTGATAATATACTTACGAAGAAATTTTTCAGAATCGGTAAGGTGGTCTGTTTCTGTTTTTTAGCCAGCAGAAAGAGTACACAAAATATGGCAGCTGAGTCAGAAAACAACATTGCGCTATAAAGAATGCATTGAAACCTGGAGTCAATCATATTGAACGAGGAAATCTGGTTGATTCTTTAGAAAAAAAGTTACTGCAACCGATTCACATAAAATTATTCAAGTCTTTCCAAAACCATGAATGTTTCAAATACACTGATGAAAACAGAGAAAGGAATATTTTTCTTTCTTTTTTTTTTAGAAAAAAAAGAAAAGGAAAGCCTAGCCTATACGCAAATAAGGTATCAAATGATATCTTGTAATAAGGCATCAAATGTATTGATGTTCCTGTTCGAAAACCACCAGTTTATCTGCTTTATTAAAAAAAAAATTATTAAAAATTCTTTCAACACATTTTAAGATAAACTTTGTATATGAATACATAATCTGTGGAAAATTAACTGAGACTATATCAAATCGATTCTAACTAGTTACACCTTATAATTTGTTTTTTTACAGTTTTTTGCAAAACCATAGAATTTTTTTAAAAATTAATTTACTGAAAGACTTTGTCCACCAAACCCCGTAATTGCTTTTCATTCATCATTGAAAATCAAGAGGAAAGAATCGTTTTAGTCAATTTTTTTACACATTACGATTGGACTGCATTTTGTCAAATCAATAACATCAAAAATCCAGACAGGGGGGAGGGAACATTTCAGTTAGAAACATTTGTTTTTTAAAAAATATGCAGCTTCATAGCTAATTATGAAAAATAGTTTCATTAAATCACTTCATTCAAATGACTCGTCAGAAAAATGAAATATTCTTTGTTCATCACAGACGTTCTTAAAAGGATTCCCCTTAATTTTAGAAACAAAATTCTCTGACTTCTCCAGTTTTTTAGGAAATTTTCAACAAAATTCTCAATAACGTTTTTGATGTATAAAGAAATTTTTCTTTGGATTATATATCTTTCTTTTTATTAAGAACCAAAATTATTTCATGCAATGTTAAAATTTTAAAACATAGCATTTATAAAACTGCAAACATAGTTAGATTTAAGAAAAAATTTGAAACCAAAAATTGTTAAAATTAGAAATAGTATTTTTAATAAAGGAATATTCAATCCAATGTTAATAATATAAAAAAAAAAATTAACCATGTTGCAGCCGATAGATGTGATTTTATTAGATATTAACTTTGAAACTCAATTATTACTTACTAAACTAAAACTCAGCGGCACGTCAGCCCATAGAGGGCCAAGGCTCTGGGGTGCAGGAGCAGATGTTCCGGTTAGGTGGTCAGCCGAACGCGGAACCCCCAGTGTTTAGTTCCCAAGCACGCTTGGCACTCATTTATCGACCCACTGAAGGGATGAAAGGCTGAGTCAACCTTGCCCGGCCCGAGGATTGAACCAGGTACCTGTTGCACGACAGCGCGAAGCGCTACTGCTCAGCCACCGGGCGTCATTATTACTTACAATTACCATCAAATTTGATAGTGGTTATTTTTTAGGTTTGTTGTAAGTTTTTTCCATGTTTTGGCGAAAAATTAGATTATTTCCAGACAGTTCCCAAGTATCCCTTTTAAAATCAAATTTTCGGATAATTACAGATTTCTTTGATCCCTTGTAAATCTGTTCTAAACCTAAAATTTCAAGATTCTTTTTTCTAGAATGTTAAACAATTGAATGTTTAAAAAAATAAAAGAAATGTTTCAAGCAATAAATTTATAAGATTCCTTACATACACGTTTTTGTTGTTAACAACTAAAATATTGTTTAAGAGGTCAAAACAAATGTTGAGACAATGGAACTGTAAAGCTCAAAAACAAATATTCATCGATAATATATCAAACATTATTTATTTTGAAAACAGAATTATATACTCTATAAGCATAGACTAAGCTCGAGTAGCTTTGTGAAAACAATTATCAAATTAATTAATTTTAAGCTAATAAATAATACAGCTTATTAACTGCTTAAATTGCTGCTATACCATATTAGCGTTATTAAATTGCAACCGAGCCAAACTGATCAATGTAACTTTTTATACCTATGGTAGAACAGTAATTTACGAAATATAAAAAGAGAAAATCAAAAGAGGCCTTGGCGGAATGCTACGAACTCACAAAATCATCATTTTTGCGTGAATAAGGACAATAAAGTTTAATGAAATTGTATACAAAAACGATTTGTTACACTTAAACAATTTTTTCTTTTCAAATTTGCGTAAATTTTCTTGACACAGAAAATAATTTTAAGAGTGGCAAAGTTAAATGCATTTCAGATTTTTTTTTAATACCAAGATCGATTTTTAAATATCAAGACTGAATAATTATTACACAAATTTATGACATAGTTTCTTTTTTATTAACTCTGTTGGTTACACTTTTACAACTATCGTTTTTTGTACAAACAAGGTTTTAGTGTTATATCTTGTACTCTAGCACCTTTTTTATTTTTCTTCATTTTCTTGAATTCTAGAAATACAAACAATTTGTGTTCCACATCCTATAGAGAAAAAAAAAAAAACCTTTTTTAGAAACATTAAGATTAAATTAAGTCATCAAGACGTTTGAGGTTTCATACTCTTAGAACTAAGGAAAATTAGTAAAACATGTATGATACAAAAAAAAACCTTCATAAACAAAATTTGCTTATTTAAGTCCATGAAATTAATCAAAACAATATTTAATATATTTTATTAAATTTTTTGAGTATTTTCTACAGATACATTTCCTGAATAAGAAAACATTAATCAGATACATGCATAGCATCACTAATTACTAAAAACATTAACATAATTTTGGTTTTAGATAAAAAAAAAAAAGTTAGTATACATTATTAGTTAGTATAAAAGTTAGTATATTAAATTAGTTAGCTAGTATAAAAGTTATTATAGTAAGGGGTCATGGTACCCTTGCAACATTTTTTAAAAATAAAGGTATAATTATTCATTTTGTGGATGCTTTACATTAGGGGTGCACAACCTTTTTGAGTGAAGGGCCACTTGCACAGCTGATTGGCTAACGAAGGGCCGCACATGTATTTAGACATGTTAATGACAAATGTAGTAATGTTTATTTAAACATTAGCATTCTATTTTTTTCATCAATAAACTCAGTAATTTATTTGTAAAAAATTAAAGGTGTTCAATTATTAGAATTCATTCAAAAATAGATTTATTGAAATAAATAAACATTAAAGAAAA